GGGCTTCAATTTGGGGATATCTTGTAAGGGGGAGTGGTGGAAGAAGAAGAAACGATAATGTTGACGGAGAAGAAACGGAGTTTAGGCAGTGGCAATTTTGTAATTTACAGAGTTGACCAAACGACGTCAGAGACAAAATTGAAAAAAGTTGACGAAGAGGGCTGTATTGGGAAATTGTACGAGTACAGGGGTACATCGAGAAAATTGAGAGGACGAGGAGGTTAAGTGACTCTCGAGTACGAGGGGTTAAACTGAAATTTACCCATAAAAGAAAAATGAATTTGAAAAGACGGTCGTGGAGACACGTCTCAGTTGCAGCACAAGGCATACAAAAACTGCACATGCCTATCTATCTTCCACGTTCAACACGTGTACAATGTCTATGCCATCTATGCAGCCACCGCCTCCCCCACCGTCCGCCGCCACTTATCAAATACCTCCAACCAAAAAAGCCGCACTATATACTAATACCCCACCAAACTTAGATACCCCATTCCAGAAAAAAAAAAAATAATAATAAAGAAAAAATGAGTCAAGAACAGCCACGACGACCAGGGGACGCCGTCAAGTACGGCGACGTGTTCGACGTCTCCGGCCAACTAGCTTCGCAGCCCATAGCACCACAAGACGCCGCCGCCCTCCAAGCCGCCGAGAACATCGTACTCGGCCAGACCCCCCACGGTGGTCCGGCGTCCCTCATGCAATCCGCCGCCGATCTGAACGAGCAGCGCGGCGTTGTCGGCCACCAGGACATGACCGCCGCCGTCATGGATAAGGGCGCCACCGTAGCCGAAGCAGATGTCGGCGGCTACCGCATCATAACCGAAGCAGTCGGCGGACAAGTAATAAAAAAAAATATAACCCCATTTAAATTTTGACACTACAATTTATCCAATATAAATTGATATTTAATGCAGGTGGTGGGACGATATGGTATGCCGACGACGGAAGTGAAAACGGGTCAACCTTCATCGACCTTGGACGCAGACGCGATTACCATCGGAGAAGCGCTGGAAGCAACGGCAATCTCCGCCGGAGACAAACCAGTTGACCAAAGTGATGCGGCGGCGATACAGGCGGCGGAAGTACGGGCCACCGGGCTGGGACACGTGGTGCCTGGAGGGTTAGGAGCTCAAGCACAGTCTGCAGCTGCGTATAATGCTCAGACCACTAGGGATGAGGACAAGGCCAAGCTTGGAGACATTTTGACCGTAAATTCAAAATTTCGCAAAATTTTGAATTTGATTATTAAAATAATTTCGAAATGTTGGTATTAATCGGGACAAGTTGTTTTGATTTGCAGGATGCAACCTTAAAAATGGCGGGGGACAAGGCTGTGACGAGGGAAGATGCGGAGGGAGTAATATATGCCGAGATTAGGAATAAGCAGGAGGACATGGCCACCCATCCTGGTGGTGTCGCCGCCTCTGTGGCCGCGGCGGCAAGGCTTAATCAAGAAAAGTGAATCACTGTCCTATCTAGTTCTATGTTTGTACGTACATGACTCTAGTTGGAAGTATCTTTTGTTTTGTATGTAGTATGTACATATATATGTAGTGTAGGGGGTTTTGTGACAGTTGGAAGTTTTGTTGAGAATGTGGGTCGGTCTACGCTTTTTGTGTGTAAATGTAGGATGACTATTCTCAAGGTATATATTGCAGTACTGTTTGCATTCTCTTGTGAGATTTGAAATAGTGCCGTTATCAATTAAATTAGGAAATTGAGAAACCAATTATAAATTAAACCTAAATAAAACCCTGGGTTTTTTATGTGAGAGAGAATTCTGTATGTGTGTTTTTTTTTTTTTGAATGAATTTGTTTCTTTTCAAACAACACATCTATGAAATAATTACTGAAAAACTATCGGGTATCAATGTTATGGTTATTTCTTTTATATGGAGGTGCTCCATAGATTATATTGAAATTTCCCTTTGGTTTCATCTTTTGTTATGACATGGTTCATTGTGTATTTTTTATGTGTTTTCACCACCCCCTTCCCCATCAATTCAATGGGAACATAATAATAATAAAAAAAAAAAAAAAAAAAAAAAAAAAAAAAAAAAAAAGAAAAAAAGATCATTTTCAAACATACGTCCAATGTCACATATTTAGAGTTCAAGAGATTAGGGAAAAAATAACATTCTATCCATTAACCCTCATTCGGCATCCTGCAGTTATACTAAGACCTTGGTGACACAAATTACCATCAAATCCTAAACTTAAATTGAAAAAAGGAATAAGAAAACATTCCTTCAAGCTAAATCGAATATACTTGATCAATAAAAATCGAACCCAAAATGCAAAACCATCCGACCAACAAAAAATGGTAAATAATGTTTCAAACTCATTGATCCTTTAGCAAAAGGTACTTTGTAAAACCAAGACAGACAAGACTTAACAAAATTAATATCCGAAAATTGAATCCAAAACACGAAGGATCACCGAACTCAGTACATATAATATCATAATAGATAAAGGGCAGCTAACGCAAAACATAAAGTTATCTCCATAGTAGTAATAATATAGAAAGACAAAAACGATCTATCTCTTCTTGGAGACACCAACAGTCTTTCCCCTGCGACCAGTGGTCTTGGTGTGCTGTCCACGCACACGAAGACCCCAGTAGTGACGAAGCCCACGGTGATTCCTACAAACATTAATATAATAGTATATTATTAACACATGGAACACAAAAAATTAAGACAAAAACGAAAAAAGAAACTCTTGGATGAGTTAAAACAAACCTGATCTTCTTAAGGCGCTCGAGATCATCCCTAAGCTTCATGTCCAAAGCATTGGATGTAACTTGAGAAAACTTGCCATCCTTGTAATCCTTCTTTCTGTTCAAGAACCAGTCTGGGATCTTGAACTGACGTGGGTTCGCCACAATAACCATCAAGCTGTCAATTTCAGCATTCGATAGCTCTCCAGCCCTGCGTCAATTATACATACAACAACGTCAGCTTGTATCCAACAACAACATCAGAGTTCTTAATCATTCAGAAAAGAGTGATAAATACTCGTAGCAGAAATGTGGATCACAAGTGATAATTACAGTCTATTTATTTTTAGACGTGCAAACATCATAAAAATTGGCTATAGTTGTCAAGATAAATGAATCAACCAAAGCAGGAAATGCAAACAATTTCAATCTAAATAATAAAAAAATGAAACCAGGCAATCAGGTTCAAGTAATGACAAGTACAATGTTTCTCATCACATATACGACAAGGTATCTAAATAACAGCCCTAACAAACACTTATTATATCATCAACATAACAATTATTTATCGTAGTGTAAATCACTCAATTACAAGTAATCAATCTGAATATCAGTGGTCTCAATTCAAAGGGCAAATATCATAACACCAATTTAAACATGTATATTATATATATTGCAAATATAAACAAGCCGCAGACAAAACCCCCAATCACAAAACGAGTCAATTCCAGTATGAGTGAAATACCATAACACTACATCTCAATTAACAGAGTAATTGCAGTGTAAAAACATACGAAAATTAAAAAAAAAAATGAGATGTAGTGAGAGAAAGACCTCTTGTTCATGTCGACATCGGCTTTCTTGCAGACGATGTTGGCAAAACGGCGGCCGATACCCTTGATGGAGGTCATGGCGAACATGATCTTCTGCTTTCCGTCTACATTTGTGTTCTGTATACGCAGAATGTGTTGAAACTCCTCATTTGCTACCAGCGACTGTAATTAAAAATAAAAATCACACCTTTCAATCGATTAGAAGAAGAAACAAATTATCAATCACAGCAATCGTAACAGAAACAAAAAGTAGTAGGAGAAGAAACCATGGCTAGGGTTTCGAATTTGGGCTGCGTTCTTCACTGAGCGTTGGGTGGGGGCTCTCACTCCGTTGGATCTCGCAACCTGTTACTAGGGTTTTTGCTATATATATATATATAACTTATTTTCATGGACTATTTTCTGACGAAGTCGGCCCATTTATCAAAATGTTATGGCCCATTTATATTTCTAAATTCATCTTTTGATTTTGGCCCATTTTGTTCTATCAGTTAATCCGATCCTAATTCCATTTTCTTTTTTCTTTTTCTTTTTTATCTAAAAGATAATCAATTATCAAATTGAAATGTTGTGTGTAGTACAATGTTTTTTTTCTTGCAGTGCATTTTCAAATATAAGTAAAAAAAAATACAGAAAAGAAAAACTAAAGATTCATACTTCATTTGTTTCTTTATTCAATTTTACCCTACAATTAATGAGAGACTGATGAACTAGTAAATAGAGATTTGAAGCAGGGTCAATTTTGTCAAATATAAATTATTTTCTTAAAAGTCAAGAGTATTAATTAACTTTCTTAATTGGTGTGCATTAACCTTAAACCACACTTGTTTTGAAAGGCATGGAGTAGCATTTAAGTTTTAGCCAATTCCAAAGCAACCGGCAAAGTCTCTTAGAGGCTCATTCATCAACAAATTTAATTTGAAGTTTATACCTAATTTTCAATTACAACACATCCAATGTATAATGATATAGGTGTATCAGATAACCTTCATTTTCATAGATTTTGAATTACTCATCTGAAGCAACTTTCACCTTTTCATTGTTTACTGTATAGACTATAGTTATATAGGTATATTGGATAACCTTCACTTCTGTACAATAACTTGCAAATCATATAAAAAATGTAAACAATACTAGCCATAAGTCATGTTTGACAAATTCAACATAGAATGCACCAATAAGGGCATTCAAAATAGGGTCAAAATTCAAATATTAATGAAGCCATAATTTGCAGGACCTTAGTTCTTTTTTTTTAGGGGTTAATATGCTTGAGTCTCTCATAGCAAACTTAATTAAAATTAAATGACAATCCAAACTAATTTTTTTTTAAATACATCACTGTTTCAAAATTTAATATGTCTCACATCCCTATTTTTTGTTTATCTCTAGCTTGCCTTTATACCCTAAATATAACATCTATTTACATCTCTCCAACTCAGATATGTTTCTTTTCTTTTATTCTATCTATTTCTCTCGTTCTCTCTACATGTGTATCGTTCTATTGCTCTTTGTCTATCTCTATATGTCTCCCTCTCTATCTCTCTTACTCCCAGTTATGGTGGGTGACTATGGCGGCAGTGGAGGCGGATATGGAGGCGGCGGGTAACATGGGGTTGTTATGGAGGCGGTCATGGTGAATGACGGCGGCTATGGAGGTTGTGCATATGGTGGGGTTGTTATGGAGGCGGCTATGATGAGTGGCGGCGGCTATGGAGGTCGTGGGTATGGTGGAGGTAGTTATGGAGGCCGTTAGGGGCGATGGTGGTCGCCATGGTACGCCGGAGCACGACAGTCTGGTGTCGCGGGCACTACCGTTCCACTTCCATTACAATGTCCTGGTTCCGTCGCGGCTTCGTTGCGGCCGAAACGGGTATTTTAATTAAAAGGCTAAAGAAATAGAATTTATTTCAAATATATTTTTAATACCAATATTACAATACAACAATATGCAAAATATTATTACAATTTCAAAATTAAATATTACATACAATATTAAAAATATTGATAAATGTGAATGAATTTTAGGAAAACCAATATAACAAAATTAATCATCATTCTCACTAATTCTCTCAATATTAATTATTTTATTTACTAATGAAGATTAGTGTTTGAAACAATTCAAATGTAATAAGGAAAAAAATATTATAAAAATAAATTAATTCATTATTATAAAATGATATATAACTCAAGATAAATATTTTTTTCTAGAGCAATGAATAATATAAAATTGGAAATATAAAATTGGAAGAGTATTTCTTTATATATTGAAGGATAATCTAGTAGTTCATTAAATAAAAACATTAATAGGAACTTTTTGGATAAATTAGTACTAAATATTTTGGTTTTGGAACTTTTTGGATACAAAAATAATTGTTGGGACTTTTTAGTGATATGAACTTTTAAGTGGGAATTTTTTTCAGAATATTTTGTCCCCGTTCCGGCCGTTCCAGCCCGTTCCGGCCGCGACAGGACCGTTCTATGACAACATCTCGCCCGCCGTTATCCCGGTGTTCCGACGCGTCGGTGAGCAAAAATCGTTTTGGTTAGGGATTCTGGAATGGAGGGCACGTTCTCGTTTTGTTCCGGCCATTCCGGCGAACCTTGGTGGTCGCAGTTACGATGGGGGGCGGTTATGGAGACAGGGAAGGGCCGGGAGGCGATGAATACGGAGGTGGTGGCGACTATGGTGACAATTTTATAGATCTAGGTTTTTATTTATTTTTTATTTATTTATTTTTATTTTGGATTTGCAATGTATTATACGAGAGTGTAGGTTTACCCAGTGCACCTATATGGTTGGTTGTGGGAAAAAAAAGGATTTTTTATTTTGCAGACTATGGCGACGGTGGTTGTAGAATTTGGGTTTTATTTTTGGATGATTATGGATTATGTGGGTGTCTATGGTTGTCTATGACTCGCTGACGGCTAGGGTTCAAAGAGATAATTAAGGTTTTCGAATGATACAGTCCAAATGACTATGAGTTACTATGATTACTACATGTTTCTAGGGGTGTCTATAGATGACTACGGCAGTACAAAAGACTATGTGTTGCTACGATTACTACGGGTTTCTGCGGTTGTCTATAGGTGACTACGGCCGGAACAAAATTTTAAAAAAATCATAATCTTCAATATTATGTAAAAAAAAGAAAAAAAAAATTAGATTTTTATAAAATTGAAAAAAAAAACTCAAAATGAAAAAGAAAAAAAGTTCGCGTCCTACAAACAAAAAAAATATTAGATGCAAAAATAGAAATGTAAATGCAGAATAAAAAATTAATAAGTACAATTTAAATATTATTTGCTACATATTTCATTTGTTGTGTATGGAGGGCATTTTTGAAATGAAATTTATAAAGGATATGAAGCAAATATTTAGTTGAATTTGTCATATAATTTTAATAAATTTTGTCATCAAGGACCTATATCTTAAGACTTCTATTTTTTAATCAAATAGAACTTAAACGTATTTAAAATTGAACGTAAATTCATATTGGCTATCTTGATCTCTTTTACAATTTTTTTTTTTTTTACATAATCTTTCTCATGTCATATAGGTCGGAATAAGGATGACAATTCAATTCAGACACGTCGAGTACTCTTCCCGTTAATAATGGGGGGTGGGGGGTGTCTAAATTTTTGTACGCGTACATGCTAGTATGTGTTGGGTTTTGAATAACAATAATATTTTATGAAATATTTTCTTTGACTAATTTTATGAGGTCAAATTGAGCAATTTTCTGAAATCTTCTAAGAATTTATTTTGTCTCATAAAATCTCCATATTTTCTTTAATTCTATATTAAATATAGCTTTTATAGTGGTCATAGTATATACTATATAAATGGAGTATTGTGGCTTTGAAAGTTGTGAAGAGAAGAAAAAGAAAAGTCATACATATATGTTGAGCTTTTGTGTGTGTGAGTGTAAGTTTTGTTTCACTACATGCAGTTTCGGTGGAGTTATAGTGGAAAGATAGGTTGCACTGTTGTATTCCATAGGTAACAAGATCAGAACCTTTATGCACTTCATTAGAGAAAGGGGCGTGAAATTCGTCTTAAGAAAGCGACCTAGTCTGCGTCTCGCGTTACATATCTTCATATTATTGTGTATATTATTGCAGACAGTGAAAAGAGAGATGAGCTTCATTCCACCAATTTCGTGATCGATCGTCAAAGTGCAGCCGAAATTCAAATAATATGTGTTTTTGTGTATCATTCTTGTACACGGTTTTGTATAACCTACACCTCAAGAAATACACCATGTAGTTTTATACTATGGATCTACACGTAATACACACATCCATAAATATATGTGTTTAGTAGATTTTATTTATGCAGATGTACGGTTTATCAAAAAAAAAAAAACATAACAAACAAAAACTATTTTTTAGGAAAATAATAATTTACTTAACAAATACATTAACGAGGATCTTTGCAGGCGGGGACGGGTTTTACAAACTTCTACCCTGAAGGGTCGAGACATTGCATATTCAAGTTAGCGGGTACGGGGAATGCAATAATCGTCCCATTGTCATCCACTCATCCCCAGTTCCTATCCGGGTCAGGTCCGGGTCTAAACCAAATTTTCAATCTTTTTTTTATTTTTTTTATTATTATTACGCATCCTGACCCTCCATTTCAAACGGTCATATGATCTTGACCGTTGAAAAAAAAATTAAAATATTTGAATTCTGTCAGACCGGGTCCGGTACGGTTCCAGGTAAACCCGAGAAAATAGTTGGAAAAAAAAATAACTTGAAATTTCGGACCGGGTCCGGCTTATAGCCGTTACATATACAAAATTTAAAAATTTTTTTTTTTTTAATTCGGGGTGGACCCGACGGGTCCTCGGGTTCGGGTCTGGATCCTCGGGTCGACCCACCAGGTAGACCTGTCGGGTCTCAGGTCCTCAAATACAAGAACCGAAACTGACCCATGCAAACTCGGTTCCGGGTCCTCGGGCAACGGGTCAGGTCGGTTCCATCGCGATCGCCAGGTTGGGTTCGGATCAGACCCGACCCATGGCCGTGTCTAGCTATAACTTGTTTAAAATGATGCTCATGGATTTGTGATGGCCACAAGCATCCTAAATATAGTATAGAAGAACAACAAAAACATCGTCTGATTTAACTACTTTTGCCATCAGTATATTGTTGCATTGGAATAACTTGTACAACCGGGTACCAACTAAAATTAACCTTCGTAAAGCAAAAACCAAAAAAAAAGAAAACATATAGTTAGGCTTTCTTTGGATCAAGGAAGTTGTGAAGTAAAAAATCAGCAGGTGATAGTGTCGGCAGTTCCAATTCATCGTAGTTTTAAAAAAAATCAATACGGCAGAAGCAATTTTCCACAGCGGAACCCAAACAAAAGTGCCGCCACCTTAGGTTGTTCCACAGCCTTGCACACCATTTCAATAGCACCGAGGTTCGTTGCAGAGAACAAGAGTTTAATGATGAGTCAAGCCTCAACAGCAAATACATGTTCCCAAATGTCGACGATGAAATTTCAGGTGGACAAAGAGAGGCATACATTCATTTTCGTGTTTATATCTTTATTTTTAATTTGTAAACATTGAACTCCAATAAATTCAATATTATTTTATTTTACCATTCTCTTCTAAGAACAAAACAATACCTAAGAAAATATATTTTCATAAAATCAATTTCATCACCATTCCTATCAAGACCAAACAAAGGCTTAACAAAGAGCATGACAATATAAGCACCATGCTCTAGTATACTAAGAAAATCTATCAAAATCACAACACACCAGAGCATTTTCAAGCAGCCAGAAATAACATCAATAACTCAGACCTAACTTGAGAACCATCATAATTCCACAAGGATGTAAGAAAATTCTCAGCAGATAATAAATATGATTAATACAGCAATTTCAAGAACTTGGGGTCGTAAGTCGTAACAACCAGAAAACTGTGCCCACTTTAACAATTAAGAAAAGCCATGAACTACGAACTAACGCAAAGCAAAAAGTAACACTGTCATATGATAATAATCCTCGAGGATGCAAAACAAAACAAAAAAACAAAAAATCACGAGTCGTTTATTTCTTCTTTCCAGCCTTGGCAGCGTCACTTGCCTTTGTCTGCATAACACAGTGAAAATATGATTAGGTCATGAAGACAAAACGGGGATAGATAGAAAGATTAGTTATGTGAAATCAAAGTGGTCTATATGGCTAAAGATTTCAAACACTCTACATAAGAAATTATTTCTCCAACCAGTAAAATGGTTTGTAGTTCTTTACGATTGTGATAAGGAAGGGAAGAACAGCTATACCTTTTTAATACCACGGATCTTCATTGCTCTGTTTTTCCTTTCCTTCATTTGCTTTCGGGACTTCTCAATCTTGGTATCAAGACCATTCTAAATTCCAAAAATTCAGCAAGTTGTCAGATATTTGAAACAGTGAACATTGTACAGCACTACATTCGAAACTAATTAATTCCAAAGCATCCAATCAAGCAACTAGTCGGCAGATGTTGATCAACTGATCAAAAAGAGTCGATCAAAGCATTACTGAACGAAACGAACCCCGAACCCGAAACCCGAAAACCCGAAACCCAAAAACCGAAACCCGAAACCCGAAACCAACACTTCTTGAAGTAACCAACTATATATAGACAATGAGACAGCAGAAAAGTAGATCTAATGGAGAAGATAAGTATATAAGATGATGAAAAAAAGTAAATATCTTTATATTCTTTTAGAGTATGACAAAGTCGCCGCTAGATAAAGACTATATACAACAATAAAAATCCATGAGATGTTGTAATAAAAAATAATTCCTTACATGCACCAAGATAAATTATTTCTACCAAGTACAACTTAGGAAACCTAATAGGATGGATGGACTAGCCATTCGATGAAAAAAGACACTTAGTACAGCAATCGTACATACAGTATAGGTACCAGTTAATCCAACATTCAACTACAGAAAATTTAGCATACGAGTGCAGTGAGAATACCGTATCATGAAATGTTTGCTAAACAAATACGACAAAATGAATAAGCATAAGAAATTGACAAATGTACCCTGATAAGCCTGTATTTTGGCTCGAATTTCTTGGCATTCTCGACGGAGTCGTAGATCAAGCCAAAGCCAGTAGATTTGCCTCCACCAAAGTGGGTTCTGAACTTGAACACAAAGATGGCATTCGGGTCCTTAACCTCGTACATTCTAGACAATTTCTCCTTTAGCTCAGCCTACAATTTAATTCCAAAAGAAAATAAGAACAAAAAGTAACCACACTCCTCCACCCACAAACAAAACCCAAGTGACTTCACAACATAGTAATATATGAAATTCAACGGAAAAAATTCTCTGAACTTCGTGGAAAACTAACAGGTGTATATTTACTGAATCTATTTCAGTAACTTAAAACTAATCCAGGTTAAAAATACTATAAAAATGAAATAAAAATGGTAAAAACAAAATAGAAGTGTTGTGAATAGTGCAGATCAAACCTTGGAAACGTTGGGCCTTCCTGGATGCAACACATCAATGACCTACCAAGCAAAAACAAAATTGAAATGAAATTAAGAATGGTAAAAAAAGAAAAAAAAAAACTAAAAATTAAAAAATAAATACAAATAAAATGTTGAAAAACATACAAATTGCTTCCTGGAAAGGAGACGATTGGTCATGAACTTCCTGGTTCTGATGGTTACCGCCTTGTCCGCCATTTTCTGGAAAAAAAAAAAGAAGAGAGAGAAGCAAACACGATTGCCGAATTAAAATTAATTTCCGCACACAATTAATTAACAATAATGCATATTCAGGGAGAGATGTAGGGGTTTGCAGTTAATTACGGTGTGGTTTGAGCAGATTCACGCCGTGCGCCGCCGCCTAGTGTCGTCGCTTTTTGCTGCTCGATTGGCGTTTCTGCGGTGTGAGAAGGAGTGAAGGAGTTTAACACTAGGGTTTTGTAATCGCATGGATTTGTTTATGGGCTGACCTAATTATCTATCTACTAAAAATTATGGGCTTGGTCCAAATACGGAGTGCTATACTCGGCCCAAATATTGCAACACAATCATTTTACACCTTCCAAATTACAAACACCCCCCTGAGGTATGATTAATTTACGAAAAAACTCATCTTGTTTGGATAATTACATCTATCCCCCTCAACTATGATTTGTTCTTACACCTCCACTCTTATGGTGTCAAATTCAACATAATCATCTAGATTCTGTGAAATGTGCTCTAGTTTGTACTTGTTTTGTGTAAAAATACAGTTTCTGATGCACCACAATCTGATTTATACAAGCCAAAAAACACATATTAGGATCATCTTGTTTCAAAATGTAGAGTTCGAATAAGATAAAACGGGTACAAAAGTGATAATATTCTATATAATCTCGAAAATTCCACTAAATTTGATGAGTTGATGGATGGTTGTAATTATCCAAACAAGAGGAGGGTTTTTGTAATTTAACCATACCTCAGGGAGGTGATTGTAATTTACCTTTCAAAATTATAACACTGTCACTAGGGGTTTTATTCTATGTTACCCTCGATAAATTTGACATATTTTTTTCCTCTGATATGCGAATATATAAATTCATATACTTTATATATTGAGTGGGACTGCGTGTAAATAAAAAATAAAAATATATATTTTCCTCGATCGTAATAATATCTACAAGACATTGGCTACATATGATAATTGAAACAAGCTTTTTCGATTATGTTGATTCTGATGAAAACAATTTATGATTTCAGAATAATATATTTCAGTTTAAACTCAACAAAAAATTAATTTTCTATTTTCGTAACGTGGATCAGAAATGGGATATGCATTAGATTCCGATTTTCTATCTTATTTTTATTTGTGATAATAATTTTGAAACTCTTAACTTTATTTTATTTGTTTTCCGAAAAAAATAGCAGAAAATTCATATCTCAACGATCAACTTTGAGCTCGAAAGAATCTCGAGCTACTTAATTTGAGTGATCATGTAGCACTTTTAAAACATAAAGTTTTATTTTATTTTATTTTCTCTCTATTGTATGGAAATTGGATGGATAATGATGTTATAATTTGGTGTTTTGAAAGAAAAAAGAAAAGTAGAATATCTGAAAATCAAAATCGAAAACCAAAACTTGTAAATTTATTCCCATTAAAAAAATTAATGATTCAAAATAAAAGCTATTTAAAAAAAAGAAGAAAAAGAAAATCGGATTTAAATAAACAAAATTACAGAAATCAATCATGTTCAATTTTGACCAATGATAATAATGGAAAAATAAGAATACAAAGTTAGCACCGAACAAACGAAAACATCAAAGATGATGATGATGATAGGTCTTCTTCACTGCAACTCTTACTTCCCCATTCAGCTAAATTCATCTTCTTCTCCACAAATTAAACCTAAAATTCGCCCCATTTCCCGCTCAGTTTGCAAACCCAGAAACCAAACAATCCTCGGGATAGTTAATTCTAGCAATAATGGGCGTGACCCAGTTAAAGACCCCTCCTTTTTTGATGAAAACGGCGCCGTTGAAGATATGGATGGCTATCTCAATTATCTCTCCCTTGAGTATGACTCCGTTTGGGACACCAAACCTTCCTGGTAAGTGGTAACCAACCCCTTATTTTTATCAATCAATCAATCCCCTTTTTTACTCTTTTTTTTTTTTTTAATTATGAATTTGTATCTCTTTTCTTATCATCTGGTGAGACCTCGTTTGGGAATGTTGATGGGATTGATAAGATTGATTGACTTGGTTTCACAATCGTGTAATATATGACTATGTTGTTATGTTCTGCGGTTTTTGTTAGTACAATTCTTGTATTGGGTAATATGCTTAGGCATCGTTTGATTGGGGAGATTAATCATGATTAACTAAATATCGGATTTTGTTTGATGTTTGGTATCCTCACTAACTTGCTGAGTCGACCCACAAATAATATTATGTTGTCACTCGTTATCTTGCTTTCTATGCATGTTTTTTATTGGATCATTGAAGGTCCAATAATATAATTGGATCTTATTAGATTATTTAATCTATCTTGGCTACCAAACGAGGTGTTAACGGGATTGTGCAATACTAGGGGTTGTTGAGTTTGGATTCGGTATCCCTCGTTCGCTTGATTAAAACATTTGACAGACCTTGATTATCTTGTCTATCGAGTCAAGTCATATCCTACTTCCCAAACGAAGCCGAAATGGCGAAATGTATAGTTTGCTTAAATCAGTTAACATGGAAGAATGAAGTGAAATTTTCAGATTTTGCATTTGAATTAACTGACACGAGTTCTTTGTGCGGGTTCAAATATGTGCAGCACTTGGTGAATGAAAGATTATCCTTTTATCATACTAAAAACGTAGATGAATAACGCTCCTAGTAGTTGACATTGATAATCCTCCGTTTTTCAGGTGCCAACCTTGGACAATTGCACTGACTGGAGTAGGAATAACTGGTGGTAGTTGGCTAGTTTTGAACTCCGTTGTAGTTACCTCGATAGTCGCAACTTTGATTTCCTTGTGGTGGTACATTTTCCTCTACTCTTATCCAAAGGTATGATCACGGTTTTATGCTGCAGAGTTTTCATTCCATTCTTCCCTTCATTAATTTGCTTTCTTTGACCAATGGGTCGAACGAACGAAGAATTTGCTATTTAGTATATACGGAACATGCAAGGCTTGGACAATAATATTTTAATCGGTTAGCACGGATCCATAATCGAGAATTTTGTTTGTTTTTGTTTCTCAGGCATATTCAGATATGATTGCCGAGCGAAGAAAGAAGGTAAAAGGTGGTACAGAAGACACCTATGGCAAGCAAACATGGCAATGAAATCGAGGGCCACGATAGAAGAGCAAGAACAAGCATCATTATAAAAGGCTAATATATACTTTTCAGGTTAAAAATGTATTTATTTGGATCTCATGGTAATGTTCCCACGATATTATGTATTAGCAATTTCTCTTGACAAAGTTAAAAACGCATTATTACTAGCAATCCTTCCCCCAAGCTTTTCGACTCTCGAAAAAAGACCAATAAACCCTTGTACAAGATCACAAACATATAACCCTTGCATTAATAAAAAACATAAATACACGAACCATAAACGTCATGCATTATCATTCCATTTACACTGTGAGAAACACAAAGCTAAAGTCATGAAATCATAATACAATTCATTCATTACACTTTTCCAACTTTTCGTCCTTAGTTCGACTAAGAACACGAGAATTATCAAGGCAAAATCTCAACCGTTCATTTAGACACATGTAAACTAATCATCTTTTGAAGCAGGCATAAGCATAAGCCTCTCCTCAGAATTAAGCTTCCCTCGAGTTAGCTTCTCCTCCTCCGCTAACAGCGACTGCAAGTCGCTGCCATTAGCCAGGCTGTTGAACTCAACAGCTTTGGACGGCATTGTTGGATAACGCCGTTGGGCGAAAGTCATCAGTCTTTTAATGGACTGCAGATACTTACGGGTCGTCTCGTCGTTCATGATGTGGGCCACACTGTTGGTGTAAATCTTTTCACGTGCAGAACGCTCGTGAATACCAACCATAGTAACACCAATTGGCCATGGAGCATTTCCGATTGCCATTCTAATGTAATGGTCCATTGCCGCTAGGTAGTCCCGCCTCATACAGCAGTTTACAACCAACATCAACGCTTGTCGAATATCATCCGGAAGAACCTAAAATGGAAAAGGATAATGTAAATCATCTAAAAAATCTGAAACGTTATTTAGTGGACCCATAATAACATGGGTTTTTTAAAATGAAATTGCACGTTCCTGTATGGAAATCAATATAGTGAATTACCTCGAGTAAATAAAAACATTACTTCAATTTGATTTCAACATTGACAGTTCATGTAAACAATACTAATCATTACCATCAAGACATTATAGAATTAGTTAGTGCTGATAAAAATGCCACCGTTTTAATTAAAATTCGAAGATTTCATAGCACATTATGAAGACTTGTGATGAACGAAAGGAAGATGTGAGAGAGATAATCAGAGAGCAAATGTTGCCTCTTTGCACACCATCTTTTCCGCCTAACCCTAATGCCTCTTAATCGGTCATACTAAACAACCAGCCAAAGGTACACATTTTTCGTTAACTCACATGCATTAAGTCGATATTTATTCCCGCACCTATGGGCCATATATTTTTACCTCTTTCAAAGAAAACTCATATCAAATTTCATTGACCTTACGCATCAAATAGAGATCATAATATTCTCAACTGTAACTTAAGCATGATATTAGTCAAACTCGGATCATTTTATGAGTAACATATAAATGAAATACTGATGAGTATCTTTATAAACATCAACCCTATGCCCTAATTGACAACTGTGTTACATTCTAGGCTATTCAGTCAATCTTTCAAAAATCAAAGGAATTAATTCAAAAGCATATCACTTTCACAAGAAAATTGAAAAAAAAAAGAATCTTTTTTTCAAAAAACTCACCTTCTTTCTGCAGAACTTAAAGAGCGGATTCAAATACCGAGCACACTGTTTGAACGTTGCCACCATGGACTTCCCTTTGGCCGTCCTCTTCTCCGTCTCGCCCATTTCATTCAGCTCCTGATTCCACTCATTCAACAACTTTTTGAAAAACACCAAAATCTTATCCTCATCACACAACTCCTCAAAATTGGACTTCATTCGTTTCAAATCCTTGTCATGATCCACGTCAGACGACCCTCCATCTCCACTCATATCCTTGTCCCCATCTCCACCGTCGTTATCCTCCCCTCCGTTGTCCCTCGACCTCCTCTTCCTATCGCTCGAAATCCCGGACTTCTGCCTCTTCTTCAACTCCACAATATCCCGCAGAAAGTCGTTCGTCTGCCCTTCCGTCATATCACTGTCGTCCAGCTCGAACAATCCGGTCTTGAGCACGAACTTCAAACGGTCGAGCCTCGCCTCGTCGTCCTCTCCGAAGAGAGTCACGGGCTGTTTCAGGAATCGGAGGCGGCGGATTACTTCTTGTCTGGGGAGATTGAGATTGTCGATGTTCTGATCTCCGATTAGGGCTTTGGAGGAGGAGGAGGAGTCGGGGGTGGATTTGGGGATCTCAGCCTTGGAGCTAGGGTTGGATGACGAATTAGGGTCGTTCTTCTGATGCTGGTCCTGGTGAAGCTGCTTGTGGCGGAGGGATTTGGCCTCGGCCTCGCGCTTTTCCTCTTCGCGGAGACGCTGGAGGCGTTTCTGCTCGATCTCGGAGCGCTTGAAGTATTTCTTCCCGCCGACGTCCTCCTTCAGGCTTTCCCGTTTCTTCTGCAACTCCTGCTTCAGAATATCCATTATTTGATTCCGATTTTCGCTAGGGTTTTCCCTCTGATTTCACAGTCCGGACAATAGATTGGGATTTGGGAATTTAGTAATGCTAGGGTTTTCTTATGATTTGGGTGTCCAGTAAATTTTGGGCGGATTATTGTTATTTGTGGAAATAAATAATACAGAACCGGGCCGGGCCGGGCCGGTCCGGGCCGAAGGTCTATGAATTATGAATTTATGATTATGAATCCTGAAATGCTATTCATAATGCAACTTTTACTGCCTTACAGTGCGATTTATTTCATTTGTAACTTTCCAAAAAAACTCAAATTCGCTCGGTATTTCGTGTGTTATATTACGAAATACACTCAATAATTTCGTGTATTTTTACACGAAATATAAGTGTTTATTGTTATAGAACATGAAGGACGAAACTGTTGGATTGAAAAAAATCACCTATTTCGTGAGAAAAACCACGAAAGTTTACATTATAGTTCGTGGATTTTTCCACGAAATTACAACTTATAATTCGTGGAATTTTACACGAAATTACACCTTACAATTCGTAAATTTTTCCACGAAATATAATGTAATGTTTCGTGAAAACGTAAAATCACTAATTGATTTGTTTTTTAATTTAATCAATTTATTTCAGACACTCAAATTGACCTAAAAATTCAAATACAAATACAAATTGAACTAGATTCAAATACAACTACAAGTTGATCTAAAATTCAAATACAAATACAAATTGAACTAGAATTCAAATACAACTACAAATTGAACTACCGACGAGACTTTAATTGTTCGTACAAGAGAACTCGGGGTTTGAACATTTTGAGTAAGTGCTTTAGGTTCTTAGCTCTATGGTGTACCTATGCCGGATGAATTGGTGGTAGAGGACTATGCACGACCAAATTAACAAACATGAAATGATTGTTGTGCAATGTCACAACAATCATACATGATAAGTGACCACTGCCAAACATAGGAAGGTAAGTCAGACTCCCTATTTGGGTCAAAAGTACCACTAATGCGCTGTATCTGGTAGCAATGGTCAATCCCATTTCATTCATGTCCATCCAATAAGCCTGTGGACAAGTCCCTGAGGTCCAGTCACACTTGCGTATGACCTCAACGTATCCGGTACTGCCAAACGTCGCCGTGTACACATTAACAGCTCGTATAACTCAATAAGCAACTTCCCTCTCACTTGCGGCCATCTTTCTTGATCCACGTACACGGCTTGAGCAACGCACCGGTACCCACAGTTGCCATCCGCCATCACGTTAACATAATCTTGAATAAGACGGACCATAAATCTGGGCACGAAAGAATAACAGTCGATTCCTTCATGTACAGGTATTGTAGGGGCAGCAGATTCTTGTGTGGGAATACGAGAATCATGACCTTTCATCTTGGATTGAGGCGTTCCATCAGTGCTTCTCTCAACCTTTGCCTTAGGAATCTTTTCACCAAATGAGGTTTGGCGACCCTTGGAACCACAAGACGACTTAATTATCTCCTCATCAATATGATGCTGCCATTCGGAAGGGTCTCTCTTTGTCGAGTTATTCTTTGGTTGTCCTTTGGTCTTAACAAATGATGGTTCGGACAGATGCGACGTAGACGGATAAACGATGCCACGCAATGAGGCCACAACATTTATCTTACTCGTGTAATTCATCTTCTTCAAATTGCAATTCAGGTCATCAATTTGTCTATCCACAATCTCCTCGCTGTTTACTTGATACTGAGGTAGCTCCGAAGGCTCAACTGCCATGGTACTCCAGAATGGATGCAAGTCTGAAATGACGAACGTGTCATTATCTTCCATTTTCTCACAATTTTGCACGCGCATGGGAGCCCATGAGTATTCCAAAGATATTGTGTGCAAATACTCGGATCTTGCATCGCTGGAGACTCTATCTCTTGATCCAATTTCTCTAATGCCAGATGCGTAACATAACAAATCAAACCCTGGAAACACGGCCATGCTGCAGTATGCTTTATCTTGGATGATAATAAACAATCGCACTTCAGCTGACTAATTTGGGTATAAACTTGGTCCCGAACTTTGCCTTGTACGTTATCCAGACCTCCGGTCGAAGCATTTAACCAACCCTTCGCAAAAGAATGATCACTCTCCATACTATCCAATTACAACAACAATCAAAGTATACAACGACAATCAAATTCCAAAATAAATATTATTTTTATATAATATATTTTATCATTTAAATAACTAAAACATGTAATACATGTTGGTGCTCGTGTTGCCAAAATGATACACATTGCGGGTATAGGCTCGAACAAACTTCTCATTGTATATCAACCACGTATCATTCAAATACTGTATCAGTCATGGATATCCTGCATACCGTCCAACAATTTCATTGTAATTGTAATGATACTCTTCTTCGGTTTCTGATTTCACCAG